ATGTGGCGCTGGGGGATCGAACCGCGGTCCCTGATGCTTTGCTAAGCTTGTTCTAAGTAGGTGCTTTAGACCACTGAGCCATCTCTCCAGCCCTGTTTTAACTTTCTTAAAGTAAACATATATTGTTTGTATAACTGAAAAAAATAATATTAAAAAGTGAGGAGATTTCCCCATGTGTGGTGAAGAGGGATTTAATTTTGCATGGGTATTAGTGTATTGATTTTTTTGTCAACTTTATAGATTAGAATTTACATGCCTTAAAATTGACCCTCTGAAATTGTACAATTCATTGTTTTATAGTATACTCAGAGTTGCACAGCCATCCCCAAAATCAATTTTAGAATATTTTTATCACCCCTAAAAGATAGTTCCACTAGCAGTCCCTCTCTCTTTTTCCTTCACCAGCTACTGGCAGTGATTAATCTGCTCTTTGTCTTAATGATTCACTTCTTCTGGACATTTTATACGAATAGTTTCAGTCAATAAGATTTTTTGTGACTTGAATTTTTCAGTGGGACTAATGTTTTCAGGGTTTACCATGTGGTAACACAAGTTAGAATTTCATCCCTTGTTATTCCTGAAAATATTCTGTTGCATGGTTGTTACACATTTTACCTATCTATTCATTCATCAGGTGATTTTTATAGATTATTTCCACAGATTGACTATTAAGAATAATACTATTATTAATCATATGTGCAAGTTCTTTTTTGTTGTTTGTTTTCTGTACTGAGGATTGAACCTAGTTCCTGTACTGAGCTACATCTCTATCCTTTTATAAAATTCTTTTTAATTTGAGAAAGACTCTCATTGAATTGATCCAGGCTGGGTTCAAACTTGTAGTCAGTCCTCCTGCCTCAGACTACCAGAGTGCTGGAATTACAGGTGTGCATTACCATATCCTGCTTATACAAATTCATGTGTGAACACATGTTTTAATTTTCTTGGCTATAAACCTAAGAATAGAATTTCTGGACTATATAGTAACTCAATGTTTGACTCTTTGAAGAGTTGCCAAACTTTTTCCAAAGTTGTTGCTCGATTTTATATTCCTATCGGCAATGGGATGGCATCCCTACCAACACTTGTTACTCTCTTTTTGTTTTATATTCATCCTTGTAGGTAAGAGGTAGTATCTTACTATAGTTTTGATTTTCATATCAAATCATTATTCATTTTAATTATGGTTTCTATTGTTTTAAAAATTTGATCTATTTAATAGCACTTCATCAGGTATATAACTTGCAAATATTCTTCCTTTCCTGAGAATTCTTTTCAATTCCTTGCTGTTAACCTTGGAAACACAACAGTTTTTAATTTTGAAGAAGTCTAACTTACCTGTTTTGGGGCTCAGTAGCATAAACACCTGCCTGACAAGCACAAGGTCCTGTGTTCAATCCCCTGTACTGAAAAAAAAAAAAAACTTGTGTATTTTTTCTATTATCACTTTTGTTTTGGTATCAAAAATAAGAAATCATTGCTAAATTGAAGGTCATGAAAATTTAATCCTATATTTTTTTTAAAGAGTTTTATAGTTACAACTCCTATACATGCCTCTGTTTTGTTTGGGGTAATTTTTGCATATGATGAGAGGTAAGGATCTAGTTTCCTTCTTGGGTGTGTTCACGTGTCCAAGTGTCCCAGTCACACCTTTGATGCGTTTTTGTTTCCTATGACCATCATCACCATTAACTCCAAGGGACCAAGTCCTATGTCATGTTCTTCTGATATTGCATTGTACAGTCTTCAGTCCCTTTTGCCAGTTGGATGGATAATGCCCCTCCATTATCCTCCAGTGAGTCATCCGTCCTGCCTGGGAACTCTTTTTTTTTTTTCATAAGCCAGGAAGTAGAAACATGTTTTTACAGCTTTTTCCCCTTCTCTTTTGGGACACTGTCCAAGGAAGTGGAGATCATTTCTGTCTAGGGGACATCGGGGGCACCCCCATCGCCCCCCACACAAGCTCACCAGAATAGGTCTTGCCAGTTGCTCCTCCTCAGTGATGTCACTGTCCTCTGTGGTTTCAGTGAGTAGACAGCACCTGCCAGGGCCTGGCCTTGCTGTTATCAAGACATGACTTTACCCAGAAAGCCCGGCTTTTATAATCCTTGTGTGTAGCCTCGGCCCTGCTAGCCTGCCTGCCAGTGTGTTCAGGAGGGAGAGCATTAAAGTGGCAACTGCACCTCTGGACCATACCCCCAAACACACACACACA